TGAGTCCTGATTGCTGAGTTGTTTGACCCTGTAGTGTTTTTTTTTTGTTTTGTTTTGTTATTATGCATCTTGTTAATGTTGGTATTTTTTTTTCTACTTGTTTCAAGTCTTAAATTGCCTTTTTCCTTCCTGGTTTTGACTTAGGTCTTTGCAAATTGTGACTTTTTCATTTGCGTTCATAACCCCTATGCTTGTCTTTACATTTAAATAATTTTTATGTCTTTCACTTTTCTGTCTGAAATCTTCCAGACATTTAAGTTTATTAGGAAATCCACCTATGGTTATAAACTGTCAGAAAGTAGTTTGAATTAGCTGCATGATGTAGGAAGCTCCAAAGTTGACTGACATGCAGGTTTTACCTGTGAACGAGCGGTTCTGCAGTGCTCAAATCTTACTTTTACTGTCATCTAATAGGATTTTTTACTCCCTATATCAGCAGCTTGTATTTTTGAACTAGCTGATGCTGTGACAAAATGTGTAGCATTATTCATGACTCTGACCACTGAACTTGCCTTGCTAGCACCCAGTCAGACAGCACTCACACACAACAAGAACACACAGTACATGACTGATTTTAAAATGGATTTGGCAGAATATAGTTGGAAATCAGCAATTCGCTGCACCACCCCATAAAAACAAACAAAATCATCAAAAATGTCATGTCCATATTCATCATATTCAAGCCAGATTTCCAGAACAATTAGTTTGAGGTATGATTGGATCATTAATTTATTTTCCAGTAGGGAGACATGCTTTTTAATTGGATAAAAAGTAAAAATTTTTCTGCCCAGAAATGTTTTTATCATTATTGTTATTGTAATATTGTTATTATTGTTATTGAAAAAAAGGCTAAACTTCTCAGCTATTACAAGCTCATTTGGCATCTCAGCTGGACGCATTGGCCCATTAGGAATAGTAACTGTAATATCAATAAAAAGCATGCCCCAGGATATAAAATACACTTTCAGTGTTACACTGTCTCACCAGACAGGAGTCAATCTGCTCCTTATGGTGAAATAAAACACTGCTAATCCCAATGGGAGCACAGACATAAGAGATTACAGAACCATTTTAATTAAC